GCAGAGGGTATTTATTCTGAAAAGCATAAGTAGTATGAATAGAATGTGGTATGCATGGGATTTGTATGTTTTAATGAGCATAATTAGGTTGTCTATAAATTTTATTTTAAGTTCATAGCTATAGAAATAGCTATATCAGTTAATTATTTTATAAATAAAATATTTGTACATAGGACATATTTACTATATATGCGCTAAATATCCCAGTTATCCAATATGTACTATATATTACATATAAATATATGATATACTTCTAAATAACATACTAACTGAAATAATAGGAAACCTAGTCTCCAATAGTTACAAGCTGTACAATGTGGTAGAATGTCACATTCTATTTGTGTCACACAACCTGCTGTGCCGCCGTGCTAACTCACATGGGCATGGTCTTGAGTGGGGTTGACATTGTTCTCTTGACTCTCATTTCTGCTTTCCTGTAGAATACTGTGACTCTGTTTCTGATCAGGAGGCATAAACGTTGAAGCTAGAATGTTTCTCAATACAGTGTCTGTGTTGGGAGTGCATACAAGTTCTGGAAGACCTGAGGATGATATGAAATAAAACCTGACTTCACTTTATTCTGGAAAAATCATGCAAACAATGGATGTTGTCTCTCTGACTCTTACATGACCCATGCCTACTGCCAGTGTTTAGTTTGGGATTTTTTAAATTTGAGAACTGATTTATATACCATAACATTTGTTGGTTTAAAAGTATACAATTCAAAGACTGGAGAGATGACTCAGCATTTAAGAGCACTGGCTGTTCTTGCAGAGGACCTGAGTTTGGTTCCCAGCACCCACATGGCAGTTAACTGTGACTCTAGTTCCAGGGGGTTCAATTTTCTCTTCTGGCCTCTGTGAATTTTGCATGACATGGGTGCACTTACATCCATGTAGGCAACATACTCATACACAAAAATAAAAATAAAATTTAAAGTATAAAATTCAGTGTTTTAAAAAATATGATTGTATACCATTACCACTGTCTACTTGCAGAAACTGTTTAACCCCAAAGAAGCCTCACTTGCATTGGCAGCCATTATCTTCCCCCTTTGATTTCTAAAAAATACAGGTCAATTTTGTTTTCTAAGGATATGACTATTTTATACATTTCATACAGAAAAAAATCATATAATGCTTGATTTTTCTGTCTTGCTTCTTTCATTTAGCCCAAGGTTCCAAGCTTGATGTTGTAGAATGAATTAATACTTCATTCCTATTTATTCCTGAGTAATGTTCCATTGTGTGGATATACCAAACTGTGTATCCAGTCACTGCTTGATGAGCATTTGGGTTGTTTCCACATTTTTTGCTGCTCTAAATAGTGCTGCAATGACTATTCATATGCAAGGGTTTGTGTGGACCTAAGTTTTTATAACCAAGACACTATCCAGGAATACACAAAGAGGGCTGCTTTGTGAAGGTTCGTCGCTGAAATGATTCCTTGAAAGGTTGCCCTGGCTCTCCTGGTGCCAAGCATTGTAGGTAGAGATGGTCAGACTTGTGAGATGTCATGGGTCAGGCCCCAATGAGGTGGTCCTTCTTTCACTCTGTTGCTAAGGCAGCCATCTAGTCTTTCAGTGACTCATGATGAGCATTATTGCTGGTTGCTAAGAAAAGAGTTGGCTTTGGTTGAGAAGTCTGACCCTGCTTCTCAGTACCATGGGCAAAGTATATTGTCCCTGAATTTCCCTTACTTATATTTTTGGGTGTTGGAGATAACAGTAGCTACATCACAAAGTTCACTCCAGAGTGAGAGTTAATGCCTGTGAGGTACCCTGTTCAAAGCAGGGGAATCAACTAACACATATTCGTGCTATTGGCAATTGCTTTGTGCAACAGGGAAGCTGAAGAAACAAAGGGCACAAGTCAGGGACACTGTGATGACACTTGGGTGACTTTACTACTTTGGAAAAGTTTGATCACTTCTTCTTTTGAAAGGGCTGTCATAACAAAATACCATACACAGACTTGGTGAGTTAAACAACAGAAATGTATCATCTGGCAGTTCTGGAAGCTGGATGGCTAGGATCAAGGTGTCAAGATTTGCCTAAGTCCTTTTTCCCTGACTTGCAAGCATTATTTTTTCCCATCTTAAAGTTACTCTCTCCAAATATTATCACAGTCTGAAGTATGGTAGGTTTAGACTTCAACATGTGCATTTTGGAGAACAGGATTCAGCCAATAGGAGATCCCTAGGCAGTGCCTACATTGTCCCAGACACTGGGAATGGACGAGACAACCTATGCCTTGCTCATTGGAAGCTCAGCTTCTTAATAGAGCCAGCCAAATAAGCAGATAATTATAAAATGCCTTTTCTCCAGTTACCCTGTCCCTTGGTTCCCAATTGATTTGCAGTTATTACAAATGCATCATCAAATATACATTCAATGTCTGAACCATTTCAGACTCCTAGTTCAATCAGCTGAGAATGCTTCAGATCTTCACCAATGAAGAGGAAAAAAATATCATCAGAGTCCATTTGGAAACAGGAAATGGGTAAGCCAGGAATCCCAAGAAGCAGGGCCAGATTAAGCCAAATTAACCAAGAGTTGAGATGTTGTTTATAATGTATTATGTAGTGTGTGTGTGTATGTGTGTGTGTGTATGTGTGTGTGTGCATACACTTTTCATGCATGTCATGGTACACCTATGGAGGTCAGAGGACAACTTCTGGGAGTTGGTTCTCTCCTTCCATTATGTGTATACTGGGATTGAACTCAAGTGGTCGTGCTTGGTGGCAAACACCTTTACCTTCTGAGCCATCTCACAGACCTTATGTCTGTTTTTAGGTTTCTCTTCACCTCTGATTCCTGCCAAAGCCTTAAACAGTCTTAACCTCTAAACAACCAGCCAGGTTCCTGCACACACCAAATGTCCCCTTGCCCAAGTTCAACTGTTTCAACCCTTCCCTACTCCCACTCTTCTTTTCTTATTGTTCTCTCTTTTCCAAGGCAATACAACAGAGGCATGAGATAAGAATTGTTGAGCACCTACTGGGTGTTGGGCAATAATTTGAGACTCTATGTATGTCCTCATTTGATTCTCATAATGGCTTGACTTTACCTCAGTTTGGAGATAAAGGACCTGAGCTAATAACATACCCAAGGTGACAGTCAATAGGGTCACTTAAATGCACTGTGACCCTTAGGCTCCAAGCTCTAGGAAGAGAATGATCATAACTATTGCTGTCAGTCTTTAGAGCTGGTTCCTTAGAAGCAGAGGAAGTTGGATGTCTTGCCTTATTGTAGTTCTGCTCTCAGTAGAAAATGTGAGAGAAGAGGAGGCAGAAGGAGCTGAGCAAGGATATGTTCTCTGCTGACTGAGCTGCAACCATGTCTACCACAGTAAACTCCAAAGCTCACCCTGTCCCCACAATATTGGCTCTACCTTGAGACAAAGGACTGACATTCTTATCTTGGGTCATTCCATTCTGGGCTACATAAATTTATTCTACCATTATGGCAGGGTATTGCTGGAAGTACCTTTTACATCAAAACATGGAGGTGGGGCTTTTAGAATGTCCAAGTTATACTATAAATAGCTGATAATACTGTATTTAGCAGTATTTATAGTTTAGCAAAGTATTTTAGTGAGCATTATTCATTTGACAGTCACAATGACCTTATGAAATAGGTGACAGGTTTCATTAGTCCCATTTGATGGGGGGAAGGTAAGTGGTATGGTTGCAGAACTTGAATGTGATAAATTGGACCTAGAACTTGCTTCTAACTTGAGACTAATTGTTCCTTTGATGTTCAGTATACCATCTTGTAGAACAGATACTGCAGAGGGTGTAATTTTCCACCTCACATGACCAGTTATTTTCATTCACCAAGGACTCTTCTGGTTTTAGCACTGCTAAGCCTTACATTCAAGGAGACCAAGGACTAACTAGGCACAATGCCTAAGACCCACAGTACTGCTAAGATTCACGAATGTGTTCTCATTTTAATTTCTTTTAACAACAGAAGAAAAATGCTGCTATAATAATGATCATAAATAATGCAGCATGTCCTAATTATGTTTATACTAACATAGTCCTAAAACTGTTGATTGATTGATTGGTTGTGTGTGTGTGTGTGTGTGTGTGTGTGTGTGCATGCCATGACATGTATATGGAGGCCAGGGGACAACTTGTGGGAGTCAGTTTTCTCCCCTTTCATGTGGAGTCCAGGGATTGAACTCGGGTTATCAGTCCTGGTGGCAAGTACCTTTACCTGCTGAGCCATCTTGTTAGTCCTCATAAATTATAATTTTTAATGAATGTGTATGCATTAGAAGGGGCTATGAGTACCTAGGAACTACAGAGGTATAACTCAGTTCTAGGGAACTGCATCAGTACTGGGAGAACTGGGATTGGGGCCATATTAACCTTCATACCTTAATTATGGTGGCTGATCATAGCTAAAGACAGCTGAGCTTTCCCATGGGATGGATGCCTAAAATCACCAGTTTTCCCCCAGGTCTTTGATTTCTGTGTATCTGGATGCTTCCCCTGTATTGTCACATCAGTTACCTGGGCTTCCCTTGTATTTCCCAGAAAAGAAATTTACAAGGCCTTCTTAGGACCCTTTTCCATTGTGCGGTGAATGCAGCACACTGTCTTTCTCTCCATTCACGGTGTTAGACCTAACACAATGTGTTGATCTCTACTCCTGGCTCAGAGCCAGACACAGTGCAGGCACTCAGTGTATATTTGCTGATTAAATAAATGAATTAATTGATAACCTGATTTAATTAATGGCTTGCTATATAACAATGGGGATGCTAAACACTCTGGGCTTCATTTTCTCCATGTATAAAATAAATTCATTGGAGCAGACACTCTCAGGTTCTTGGAATATGTTTATGTGACATCTATTATACTGTATTATGTGGCTTTATGAATATCATTGAAGCATATATCTCAGCAATTAAATTGTTCCTTGTAAATCTTAATATTGCTTTATTTCCTATCATTCCCATTTTCCTTTTAGATCCTCACAAGAATCCAGCATGTCTAATTTCCCCATGAGAAAAAAATCTCCTACAAGAAATGGTAATGTATACAATGTTTCCTTTACTCAAAAAAAACCTTTAAAATATTGGAACAACATTGCATAGATGATGAGTTTTTAATGTAGATATCTACTGATTGGAAATGACAGCCTAATTTAATTTGCTTTCCTTAAGTTAGACTTAAAAAAAAGAATGTCTTAGTTTCCACTTACATAATTATAATTTAAAGATTTTTAAAAAAATCAATCTAAATTTTTTTTGATGGTGATCTTCTGTGCCCTGGTGCCTATGAGATTAATTAATTAAATTACTTGTAATCAAATGCGTTAGGACTTATTGACTGCTATTTATTAGGTACTAAAAACTCAGCATGTGCTTCCAAGGCATATTTCTCATTGAGCAGAATGGCCAGCTTCTAAACCCTGGCTGGGTTTGTCTCAGCCTGGTGATTCTGCCTTCCCTGGAGCCAGATGGGGCCTCCTGAGCTGCCCTGGCAGTTTCAGTTGGCACCTGAACAGTTTATATGTTATCTTTGGTGATGGGGTGTGGGATTTGTTCTTTCTTGCTGGGGCATCCTGCTTCCAAATGCTACTGGACTTGCCAGGGTAGATGAGGCTGGCCAATAAGATGTGTCTCCCAAGACTTTCTGGTTAACGCCCATACTCAGCTGCACTCTACTACAGCTCTTAGGGTTTTATGTTTCTCTTGGTAGATGTGAAGAGCACCCACGGGCCTGCACTGAGACAACAGGCTTTTCATGAGGTGAACAAAAGAAGGGCTTTCTTACAGGATAGCAGCTGGATAAAGAAACGTCCTGAGGAGGAAAAGTAAGTGTATGTGTGTGTGTGGCGTGTGGTGTATGTGTGTGTGTGTGTGTGTGTGTGTGTGTGTGTATGGACTCTGTTTGGAAGTGTACTGTTTGGAAGACATGGCCATCTGAAAAGCAGGCCTTTCTAAAGCACTTGGCTATACAGGCTGGCCTTGATCTCACAGAGAGATCTGCCTGCTTCTGCCTCCCCAGTGCTGGGATTAAAGGCATGTGCCATACCTAGCAAATCTTTACTTTTTTTTTTTTTAAAGCATTTACACACTCAAGAAAATATGAGTTGTTACTGAGAGAGAGCATGAGTGTCACCTAAAATAGACCTTTGTGCTTCCTGGGTAAACTGAAAAGAAAACAAAGAATTCTAGTTTCCAAAAAAATAGCAATTAATCTACTCTGTGATGGGAGATTCTTCATGTGTTTTGATCATGACAGTATGATTCCAAATCTATAAATGTAATTAAAATTTCCACATACATAAGTGAAAAATCAGTAAGTTCCCAACCCATTTTAGTCCAAGCTGATCACCTACCTCTATATGGTTGGAAAAATGTGACATCATTTTTAAGGGCAAACAAACATGTAAGCACCAGCAGTTTCATTGGCTTTGAACATCATTTCTGCTAGCTGTGTTCAACGATCTGAAAACTATGGCCACAAGCTTCTGGCCTCATTGGCAACACAGATTTATGATAGATATTCATCTAGCCCAGGTCCATCTTTATCATCAATTAGTTATGTATCATAACTTATGCAAACCTATTTTCTGATTTATGTGTCAATCTTGATTCTAGATATTTGGTTTATGAAGCATCAAAAACTCTTATAAACCCACAAGGCAGATATTATAGTCCAATTTATAGGAGAAAAATCTGAAGCTCAGAGAAACTATATAATTTGTCTAGTGGCATAAAGCTATTAAGTGGTTGAATTGACCTTTTAACATGACCCATTGTCTTTTCATTACATCAATGCTTCTTCACCAGGAGCAGTTTTGCCTGAGGGAACATTTGGCAACATTGTGAGATATTTTGGGTTTTGAAAATTGAGGCACACATCTAACACTTAATGAGTAGAGGGTTCAAATGTTGATAAACATCCTGCAGTGTGCAGGGTAGCCCTCATGGCAAAAACAAAACAAACAAAAAAAAAACCAACCTTTCAAACCCAGTGTCAACAGCCCTAAGTTGAGAAATCCTGCATTACAAGACACTTAGTTTAAGCGTCTCCAAACTTTCTAACTATGTTTATTTGGTGAACATATTTATAATTGATAAATTAAAGCATCTATTAATCTCAATTATCATTCTGTATTTACTTTAAAGACTCACAGGATATATAAAGACTCATTGCTATTAGATTTGGCACTATTGGACTATAATCATTTCTTTCCACACAACAGCACTTAGCACTTCTGTCAGAGCACACTACAGCATTTCACTTTTTCTGTGGTGTCCGTATGTGATAGTAAATACAGTGATATTATATGTGATACAATATAACATATTATATGTAATAGTAAATACATTTTGGATTGTAAGTATTTACACAAATAGGTGAAGGCAGAGATGCCTGAGAGAAGTCGCAGTGGGTAAGAATGTTGGTCCTTTGCCAAGCCCTAAACAGGAAGCCAGCTCAGATAGGTAGGCAACTGCTGAGTGAAGGAGAAGTTGGCTCGGATACTTTTCCAACCCCTACAGAGCCAGTTCTGGACTGTGTGTTATTTGTTTTCAGGTAAGAACTGGTGGTATCTGCTCTGATCTCTTAAGTTTTGAGGAAGGATACCAGGGAAGAGGGAAGCTTTCTTGGGAGTCATTGAAGATGTGTATTTGCTAGGATTGTTTCAGTTTCAGTGTTCACCTTTCCTTTAATCATGCTGCAGTTCTTTTATAGCGTTATTAAACACGGTTCCAGAGTGTTAAGTAATCTTAATGGAGCTGAACCAGAAAAAAATGTGGTGTTTCAGGTTTGGTGGGTTTGACAGGAAAAAGTCCAGGTACTTGCTCTCTGTTGTGGCTGACAACCAAAGGCTCTACTACTACATGTTTTGACATTTCCTAAACTGCCTGAACTTTATTTTATTTTATTTTATTTTTTTGGTCTTTTTGGACAGGGTCTCCCTGTAGCTCCAGCTGGAACTTGCTCTGTAGACCAGGCTGGCCTTGAACTCACAGAGGATTCGCCTGCCTCTGCCTCCCAAGTGCTGGGGTTAAAGGCGTGTGCCACCACGCCCAGCAACTGCCTGTACTTTTAAACCCACTGTATAAAGTGGGAGAGACATAGCTTTGGGAATTTATGTGTAAAGTTCTATCACAGGGTTGCCTGTTAGGGAAAATAAAGGCTTGGAATATAAAGATCTGGGTCCTAAACTCATGTTTGTCACTTGCTAACTTGTAGTCTAATGAAAACAAAGCCAGAAAATCTCTATTGAATTGGATACACAGTGTCTTCCCTAATTCATAGGGCATTTTAAGGCACATGGATTTTCATGGTTCAAAAATGGACTTCATCCTCTGAATGATTCAAATCCTTAAAAGTACTGGTATTTGCTTTCCTATGTTTTGCCAAGACAAGTGGTCAGATTCATCAAAATACACAGGCGTAATAGACTTAATTAAATCTGAAGAATATTTATAGAAAAGCTTCGTCTTTGCCTTCCTGTGGGAAATAACTAATACATACAAAGTACATGGCCTTGTGTTCCCATACTCTGGATACAAAGTAAAGACCACAACAAAACAAAACATGGCAAAAAAACCTCACTGACTCACTATTGACTCATATGGAAATTTCATGGGACAAATGACCTTTTGTACTAACAAACTTTTTTCATTCTACTCTACTCCTGCAAGTGGTGACTGGTTAATATAGATTCATGAGTGTGTTCTTAGACATTAAATAAAACAAATTAGCCTTGAACTAAGTTGTAAACTCTCCCCTTGTCTCTCTTATTTAGTGCTTAGCAAACATTGTGATAACTTTTGATGTGACTTAATTTTGGTCTTTCTCTGTAGAGATGAAAATTATGGCAGGGTGGTGCTCAACCGACATAACTCTCATGATGCTTTGGACAGGTGAGTGTTTCAGACAAGTTATGTCATTAGAAACACAAAGATGGAGGTTCTGAGAGAAGACTCATTCAAGCCAGCTGGTTATTTGTAATTAGCCTTGGGTATTCCTCAACACTCTGGGCATACAAAGGAGAATCTGGACTATCATGAGGGGCTTCTGTCTGGAAAAATGTTCTGTGTCAGCCCCCAGAACCATGGCTTGCAGGAAGCATGTAATCCATCTTGTTCACCCCAGGGAGGACAGAAATGGCTCTCATAGGAACATGGACAGAGAAGACATCTTTGATCCTTAGAAAAAGGAAGATCGAAACACAGAAAAGTTTTGAGAATTCATCCGTTATATGATAGTACATTTCTTTTAGGAAACTTGTGTGTTTGTGGCAAAATACTAACTTATTCTTAATATTAATTAGAGTGGCAAATACAAATCAGTAGAAAAAGTCAGACAAAACATGTAATCACAATGATGTAAATAATCTCAGATCAAATAGATAATTTTCTCATTATCTCATGCTGGTACTTACAGGCTTAGCAACAGCTATACCCATCAGAAGAGCATAAATATTTATCAAAATCAAGCTTCTTCTGGTGCAGTAGCTTGAATTTGTGTACTAGTAAGAGGTCCTTGATAAAGGAATGTCATTTTTTTTTTGAGACATTGCCCCCGTGTAGCCCCAGTTGGCCTGGAACTAGCTATGTATACCAAACTGGCCTCGATTTTATGGAGCTCCACCTGCCTCTGCCTTCTGAGTACTGGAATTAAAGGTATGTACCACCATACCTGGCCAGGAATATGAATTTTAAAACATTAGACACTTAAACGTATCTACTGTTGAAATTTTTAATCTGTAAATTTCTTTCAACCATTTAAAATCTTTACATAAATTTGACTTGTTCTAAAGAAGCTGAATTTATAATCTTGCACACAAAGTGGCCATTTTTTTTTGTCCTTAATGCCGGCTTTTATTAGTTTTTGTTAAAAAAGGTTAAAAGTAACTTTAAAGTTAGTATAAAAGTGATGTGTTTCATGGTGACATGTTTATACACATGTGCCATTGCACTTTGTCCTAATTTGTTTCCCTCTCCCACTGCCTGATTTACTGTCTTTGAAAGCGCTTTTGAAACAGTGCTATTTTACAAAATAAAATATTGCTTCAGCAATATGATAAACCAATTTTTCAGTAGAAAGGTTTTTTAACTGAGGAAGTTTTAAATTCACTATTTGGTGATGTACAGACTCTACCCTTATTCCCTAGCTTTATTTATTTATTTATTATTTATCATTTTAAAGATTAGGATCTGGTTTGCAGTACATCTCACCAAACAAAGAGAAACTGATCATTGGGGTTCAACAACTGGTGGACATTGTTTTGTCTTTTTACCTTTTCCCAGAACTACCAGAGAACTTAGAGTCTTGTTTTGAAGTGTGACAGTGAAAACTAAGCATCATGTTTTTAGCCTACAGACAATAGGTCTTAGTATAACAGGAACTTAATGCTGTTTATATTTTGAATTATATTAGTTTCCTGAGCTCTTCTTGGTAGTGAGCATTTTGGCTAAATCAGCTCACCAGGATTTTATTGTCAGTAACAGGACTCTGAATGCTATACATGACCTATCACTAATGTCGTAGAACAAATCTCACCAATGAGTAGAGCTTGTTCTTCTGGCACTGGCTCCAGTGATTCAGGTTGTCACTTTTCTACCCAGTCCCAGTGGCTGTGTTCCCCATGGTGGTCACTCACCCTTTTGGGGGGGCATCTATTGTATTCTGGAGCACAGAGATTCAGGACAACCTTTGATGTTAAGAAGCTCTTGCTTTCACGAAAAATATCATAAACTATAACAGTACTGTTTACCATGAGGAGCGCTATGTCAGAGATGTGTGGGAATATTATAAAACTAGAGAAAAGGGAGTGATTATCTTACAATTGGAGACCCACCAAGGAAGTGGTCCTTGATGGATATACTCCTTGAAGGAGGAGGAGGATTTCCAAGTAGGCAAGGCTAGTTGATGGGAACAATAAAAGGAAAAAGGGTCTTCCAGCAGAGGTAACTGGCATGTGCTGACAAATCAGTTGCTGAGCTAATGCATTTTCATCACCTAGATAACCACTTCCTATTGTCTGCAAACAGATATGCTACTGTGTAGTTTCTTGGACAGTCTTCATGTCAAATGCGGCTAGTAGCACAAAAAACATCTGTGGGCTAGGACCAAACAGTCCCTGCTTCCAAACAATCTGCATCCTAGTTAAAGTCGGGAAAAGGAAAGAAGGAACATAGATAAGCACAGCATTGTCTGTTTAGTAGTAAGTGCTAGAAAGAACAAAGCCAGCTACAATCTATGATATGTGTGGAGAGGCTTTTTTGGGTAGTTTTTTTTTTTTTTTTTTTAATTTGTTTTTTTCCCCTTTTTTGATGTGTTAAGGATAGAATCTGGGCTTTGTATACAGTAGGTGAGGACTCTACTGTTGAGCTATAAATCCAGCCCAGGGAGAGTGTATTAGTTAATTTTCTGTTGCTTTGATAAACCACCATGACCAAGGAAACAGAAAGAAGAGTTTATTGGGCTTACAGTTCCAGAGGGAGACTCCATCACGGCAGAGAGGCATGGCAGGAGGCAGCCAGAGCAGAGCTGTGCTCACATCTTCAAGCACATGCAGGAAGCAGAGAGAGAGAGAAACTGGAAGTGGAACCAGGCTCTGAACTCTCAAAGCATACCCTCAGTGACACACTTCCTTTAACAGGGTCACACCTCCTAAACCTCTGCAAACAGTGTAGCCAACTGGGGACCAAGTGTTCAAATACATGAGCCTATGGGGGCACATTTATAATTCAAACCACCACAGAGGGCCCATTTTATGAAAGGGATCAGATATACCTTCAGCACATTTTTGTATTCATGTAATACTTAAGACAGAGAACCACAGCATGATTTCACTTGAAAATTTCTTAAGATTTGAGAGCTGTGATAGATAATTTTTCCCCTTCTTCCTTGTCTTCACTGGCAGTGTTCCACTGGCCTCTTTGTAAATGTTCATGTCTGATTATCCTCCAAAAACAAGGTCAAACTTTATCAGTAAATCCTATGATTCTTGCACTTAAAAAAATCCATTTTCTTGACTTCTAACTAACTTGGATTTTGTCTGAATCTCTTTTATAACATCAATCACTTTCTACCTTTGGATATGTGTCTGTAATTTGTCCCTCTAGCCCTGAGGGGTAGCGTTTTAAATTGTTTCATTCTAGACTTCCTCGTGGGCATCAGCATTGTATATTATCCACTTCCAAAATATTTGTGTGATGAAGATAAGTAACTACCCCAAGTTTGAAATTAAACTAAGAACCCAGTCTTGGTGCTTCTAATGACAGTTTGAAACGCAAAGAGAATGAATCATGCCATACTCCACAAAGCTCGCTCTTCCCAGGACTGCAGGAGTCATTAAGCAGGCTTTCTTCTGTCCCATCATTTGGGTCAAGGTGTTTTCAGTTTCCATTTTCCTTGATCATCTTTTTACTGATGAACTTCTCTTTACTGTCTCTACATGTTTGCTGTTCATCTTTCTCTCTTCTTGTGATGCCCTCATTCTTCTCCTCTCCTTTGCATATGCATTATTTTATCTCTTACTCTCTTCTTTCCATTTCTTTCTGGCTCTTCCTGTTTCCTTCTTGGTTCTTCTGCCAGGAATGGAGCGCCTTTTGTCTCTGTCCGCGGTGCTGAACATTAAATAAAGCATTATAGGATTTAGCACATTGCAAGGGCATATGGCGCTGCTAAAGTTCTGCAAACCAAACGTCATGATGCGTGAGTGAGTTCCGATTATGTATAAATCTACAATACTGAGTAGAACACATATTAGTTATTAGCTTTTGTTGGTGTTAGTTTTATATATCCTTAGCCCCGATTTGAATATATAACACTTCAGAGCTTTATGAAAACACTAAAAAGCAATTGGAGCCAGAGAAGTGTAATTTACTAACATTAGGAATTGAGTCTGTTATATTTTATTCTATTCAAATCAAACCATGAAATATTTGTGTGTGCCAAACTTGTTTTTCCTTGGTAACATGTACATTTTCTAGCTAAATAAGTAAAATATGTTGTCAAATGTATAATAGGTTTTATAAGCTATTTTGTAACTTAATCTCTTGAAAATTATTTTTACTACAGGAAAATAAATGAGAGAGATGAGTCCAAAGCCACAATCAGCCGGTACAGATCTGATGACACCTTGGACAGGTGAGGGGCTTGTGACCTATGTCAGTGGAAAGCACCTGCACGTGCTTGATAGCCAATGTGTGCTAACATATTAAGCCCTATTTGTTATAAAGCTATGAGGTGTTGGAATGTTTATCCAAGTAATCTTTGAACTACTGCCATCTAATCTAAAGACTGAATTATCTTCTTCAAAACTCACAGAACCTTGACTAGATATATTATTTTCCAAGCACTCTAGATCTTAGAAAATAGTAAGATTCATGTGTGAGTATTGGTAGGGTAGACACTACATTGAATTTACTAGTTCAATTTAGAATTAAGAATGAATATTTTTATTTTTGTGTATATAAGTAAGCCTTTTTCTATTATTGGGTTCTTCCTCTCTGAAGAGAAACTTCTATGAAACTACTTATAAAGAAACTGTACATTTTAATAATTCAATAGTTTTGATCCACTCTAGGATAAAAGCATAGGTCTTTGCTTTAGAGAGCAGGAATACTTTTCTGACTTATTCATCCCTCCTGAGAAAATTGAATCTATGTTGAAGCCTAAATTTCATAATCATATTATTTTCACTTAGGTTTGGAGAGATATTTACTAAGTATGAATAAGGGGTGTGCTGGATAGCTTTAGTGTCAACTTAGCACACCTGGGTTGAGGGAGCCTCAACTGGGGAATTGCCTTCATTGGAGTGGTCTGTGGCCATGTCCATGGGACATCTTGATTGTTGAGTGATGTGGGCGGGCTCAGCCCACTGTGGGTGGTGCCACCCCTGGGCAGGTGGGCGTGTGTTGCATAAGAAAGCAGGATGAGCAGGGGCCAGGGGAGCAAGCCAGTAAGTAGCATTCCTCCATGGCCTGCGCTCCAGCTCCTGCCTCCAAGGTTCTGCCCTGAGTTTCTACCATCGGCTCCCTGATGAACTGTGACCTGGGAGATGTAAGCCAAATAAACCCTTTCCTCCCCAAGTTGGTATTGGTTGGAGTGTTTTGTCACAGCAATGGAGAAACAAACTAGGACAAGGGGTAAAGCTAGCATCCTTAATGGGAGTTGGGCATAGTGAATGCCCAGAGCTGGTGGCACCTGAGCTCACACCCTGCAACTAAAATATGCTGCTACTCTAGATAAAAGAGGAGACACCTAATGGACTTGAGGCCGATATACAGAAACATATAGTATTTTAATACAGTTGATATCCAGACTATGCCACTGTTGATTAATGAGGAAAAGGCACCAATTTTGACTATTCATTGGCTTTCAAGTCAGTCTTCCTAACATAAGACAATCAACACTAGCATCCTACAGAGTTGGCCTCTCCTTTCTTTTAATTAGTAGTGTTGTCTAAAATGAGTTTGTAGGAATATATATAAAAAACTTTTGTATACAAATAACTGAGAAAAATATAGAAAACACCTCTATTCATTCACCATAGCCCTTCAGCTTGTCTACTACATAGTTAATTGACAAGCAAAGCCTATTTATAAGAATGAATTTTATAGCAAGATGATCAAACCCCAAGAAGGGGAGCTGTGTGGGTGGGTCAAGCTTTTGAGGGCTGTATATCTAAAGTCCAAGTCATAATCCAATCTTGGGATATAAAGAATGGATTAGACTTCATAGGCAAAGTAGTTGAGTCATTGTCTGCCTTGGCCTCAAATGGCAGTTGCTGGAGAGCTTTGGAACATTGCTAATGCCTTGGTCTGACTGCCCCTCATTCTCAGATTCTGCATCAAGTACTCTGAGGTAGGGTTTGGCGTTGTTTTCAAGCATATAAAGTGATTATAACATGAATCAAAGACTTAGATCACGAATATAGCCCAGAACCTTCATTTTATACACTAGAAAGAGTGGGACTACAGACCATGTGATGCCTTTACACAAAGGTTTGCTGGCATACGGTCTTGTTTTCATCAGCTCATTCCCAGGGAAATAAACCTGGAAATAGATGTGAGGAAGAGAGCACGGGTAATTCAGGAAAGTCAAAGCCTGTATGAAGAGTCAGACTTCCACAATACATACTACTCCAGAATGTGGCATGTGAAACTGTTTCAGGTAGAAAATGATTAAATATACCTGGGATGTTCAATAGTAACGCGTTCATCCTAATGAATATAAGAAAAGTTTAGGCTTCATTTTCATTTAAGACATACGTTGTGGATGGAAACATGAAGTGTGTTAAAGAAATATAAATAAATAATGATGTGTGTATCATGAAAGGTAAAATATAAATCCTGAAGCTAGTTTAATGACGAACTTGAAAAACATGGGTTAGGAAGCCCCCTTGTGTTCAGTTGTGGAAGTAAAACTTTCTGTTTGATTCCTTCACTCAAACTGATAACCATTCATTCCCTGTATCCCGGACTAACTAATATTAAAACATCCTATATTTATGTCACAAGTTGGCAAAAGTTTACATTCCAGATTAAATACACGTTAATCTCCCTCAGCGAGAAGCTGATAGATGTTTTCCCCAATACTGTTGATAGACATCTCTTCCTAGTGGCAAGGAAAGATTGTGATAGTGAAAGTTAAAGACATTGTAACCTAGCGTGTGAGTTTGGGAACCATTAAGTAGCTGACTAGACTCCAGTGAATGAATTTTCACTGAAGGACATCTGGGTACAAATGCTTGACTGGATGCCCAAATCTTATGTATGGTGGAATACATGAGGTCCGGTGGGAGGTTGGAGAATGTGAATGGGGAAGGGGGGTTGTCTAAATTTGATTACGAACTGTTGTGTGAAATGTACAAAAGCTCAGTACATTTTTTAAAGTGATAGAATCAGATGTGTGGCACAGGAAGACTTTGCAGATAGAATCCTTTTTGTGTTGCCTAGAGAAAATCTTTTAGACCCCATTTTACCCACCTTGTAACGATGATCTGAAGAATAGAGACAATTTGTGAACTCATCTGCAGAAAGTAGGAGCTATTTTATTACACCTGTAATAACAATTTGCAATTTGTAAGATTTAAAGATTTTGGAAACTGACATCTCACTTATGGCAGTCACAGTGATACAAAGATCCTGAAATCTGAACAACTCAGAGGCTTTGGTGAGGGCAGGGATATGATCAGTCTTTGATTTGATGATTACTTTAGATGTGAGACATAAATCTAGAATGCATTGTGAACAACCTGCTACTGCCTATATTGTGAGCAGACTGCAGGAAATAAGGAGTTCTGGAGTGCAGCAATTAGTTTTTCTTTCTTGCATTCCAGAGATAGTAGTTTGTTATATGCCATAAATGGAAACTCTATTTGGGGTCAAATCAGAAGTGTAATGGTTAGACATCCAGTATTTTATTTTCACATACCAAAATATCTCAAAATTGAAAATATCTTTAACTTATGACAGTGACATTATATTTTTCCCACATGATGTTTTTTTGTTTGTTTGTTTATTTTGGAGGCAATGTTGGTATCCATTCTAATAGGAATGTTCAGACAATTCCTTTTCTAAGGTGGATGACAAATGTTTATAGAAAAAGAGAAGCTATGTTCTTGGCTCAATGAAGAGTTATTGACCTTTAGGTTTGCTGAGTTTCACTTTTCTACATCTAGCTTTTGTAAATCTTCAGAATAGTCCAGAAAGTAGCATGGGTCTTTGTAGGAAATGTCTCATCTGATAAGGTTAGGGAGCAGGCGCCACAGTCAGAATGCCACTGTTGGCATGGAATGATAACATTTCTAATCTGTGTTTCTTGACCCAAGGTGAATACAAGCACATCTTTTCCAGGTTTACTATTTTTAGAGAAACCCGAGATTGGCAAGATTAAATAATCTGACAGCCATCATGGTCTGTTACTTAAGTCAATTAGTTGAAGTAAATAATTTGTCAAGATAGAATATTTTGAAAAATATTTTATTTTTTATGTGTATGAGTTTATTGTCTGCATATGTGTAAGTGCACCTGTGTTGTGCAATGCTTTTGGAGGTTGGAAGAAGGTGTCGGATCCCCTGGAATTGAAGTTACAGACAGTTGTTATCTGCCATGTAGATGCTGGGAATCAAACCCAGATCCTCTGTAAGAGCAGTCAGTGCTCTTAAGCACTGAGCCATCTCTCCAGTCCTAATAGAATATTTTAAAAACATTTTATTTATTATTTTTATTCTGTGTGTATAAGTATATTGACTGAATGTATATAAATGCGCCTGTGTTGTGCAATGCCTGTGGAGGTCAGAAGGGGGTGTTTGATCCCCTGGAACTGGAGTTACAGATGGTTGTTAGCTTTCATGTGAGTGCTGGGGACTGAACCGAAGTCCTTTGCAAGAACAACCAGTGCTCTGAAGCACTGAGCCATCTCTCTAGACCAAGATAGAATTTTCTTTTTGACACATCACTCCGTTTCCCCCAAACCTAAGTGGCTGAATGTGGTAGAAGTCATTGGTTGACTCATGAGAGTCTGGTATCCAGGCAGTGACTCAGACATCAAAGTTCTTTCCAGGTTTTGATGTGGCCATCTTCAACCCAAGGACACAAAACTGTGATGGAAGAGGAAGAAAGAGCATGAAAAATTGTGCAGGTGGCTTTACAGTGGGTCTAGAAGTGGTGAATTCCATTTCTGCCCACATTTTAAGTTAATCAAGTGGTCCCAGCTTAATGGCAATTTAGGATGATAAATTAATCTCTCTTGGTGTGCTCAGGAAGAAAAGAAAATGAATTGGCAAAAATTAGCATTGTTATGATACAAAATTAAAGTGAAGAACCGCTGAAATATTCCATTAATGCTTTTACCAAAATGGGAAGTATCATCATTAACTAGATATATTATTGAACAGTAAAAATATGAAAAATAGTAAACGAGGTAAATACTCAAGAAGTTGGGAAGGCAAACATCAAAAGCCATCGTACCGTCAAAATTCAGAATGATGATAAAATAAGGCTCATAAGTATCTTTTTGTCTATAAAATTTTCTAAAACATAACTCCTGAAAAAATGCTTCTTTTTATAAGAGATTGATTAAATATTGTAAAGTTAAATATGTTAAAGCCATGAAAGAGGTCTTGTAGGAATTTGATAACCTAAAGGTTCTTAACCAGAGTGCTGCTGCTAACACTGATAAGGTCAAAACCTTGGATAACTGAGTATCCAGTAGGAACCAGTGCCCACTAACTTTGGGAAAGGATCAAGTATAATCTTTTTCTAATCTTATTTTTTCTTAACAATTCATACTCTTGCTAAATATATTTTTGTAAATTCTTATCCTCTGTAATTTATTTATTATTTATTATATTCCTTCCTTCCTTCCTTCCTTCCTTCCTTCCTTCCTTCCTTCCTTCCTTTCTTTCTTTCTTTCTTTCTTTCTTTCTTTCTTTCTTTCTTTCTTTCTTTTTTTTTGAGACAGGATCTCCATAGCCCTAGCTGGCCTGGACTTGCTATGTAGACCAGGCAGATCTCCATCTCACAGTGATCCCCTGCCCTCTGCCTTTGTAGTACTGGGATTAAAGGCATGTGCCACCACTCCTGGCTTACCCTCTATATTTTAAATATATATATTTTTAAGTCTTTGAGAATTTCATACATGCATATGGTGTGCTTTGATTGTAGTCACTCTCCTCTCCTTCCCCTAATTCCTCCCAGATCTACCTCTTACTTTCCTCCCCAAACATCATGTCCTTTTCTTTTGTTTTGTTTTGTGTTTTGTTTTGTTTTGTTTTGTTGTAATAACGTATAAAGTCAATTTTGTGCCGCCCATGAGCTCATGGGTGTAGGACCATCCACTGGCCCATGGTTGACTACTAAGAACCACACTCTTAAAAACTGACTCTCCCTCCCTAGAAGCCTTGAGGTTCAATACCTGCTCAGCTAGGGATGGGGGCTCAGGAGCCCCTTCCCTGTCATGCTGAAATGTTGACTGGTTTGATCTTGTGCAGGCAACCATGTTACCCTCTATAGTTTTAAAGCAAAATTTCTGGAGTGAAAAACCTTTACTCCTACTCACACTGAAATAAAATATTGCCTGGCCTAGAAACCAAGTGGCTTCATTGCTTCTGTCATCCTTCTTACCACGTTTCTGTTTCTGTTAAGGTGCCTGGTGGCAAGGTTATGAATTTTACATTCTTATTGCTAAAAAAAATTACTGAACCCAGCCCATTAAAACACTGGGCTTAAACAATAATGACTTTTCTAAAGGAAAAAAAAATGTCTTGGGATTTAGTACAGGATATTTTAAAGATCACGAAATCATCTCATCAAATTTATTCAAATATTGATGTTTTCTTTCTCTCAGAGAGCCTTTCATGATTACTCTAAATCCATGGACAAGAAAAAATAGAAGAAGCATTAACTAATTTTTCAGTTACTCAAACTGTGCCACTGTTCTCTTTCTCCTTCTAGAACATTGTCCGTGTTTAGATCACCGGAAGCAACCAAGAAGTAAGGACTTTTCTAATTGATGTGTATCTCTTTGTACATATTATAAACAACCTAAGTGTTTTACAGCCCTCAGGTCAAAATGTCACTGGGACACAGACAAGACCCTGTGGCTTTGGCAGCATTTATAGCAGAGAAAAGATACCAAAAGAGCCTACAAAAGACTTACTGAAGAAGCTTGTCAACCATCACTCTAATCACTAAAGCTTAAACCAACAGTTTCAGCCTTCTATTTTTAAAATATGGACTATTTTATCCCTTATTCCTTGGGCAACCAACTCTTTCTTGCCCTTCACCCTTGTCCCCCCCGCCCCTGTGCCTCATATCATTGACTTCTTTCCAAGCAAACTGAATCATGAAATCATGTGTCTACTAGCAATCTATTAGATGAAATACATTTTCCCTGATATATACTCCTGGTATTTATAAGCAACACAAATTAGGTGGATTTTTAAACTTAATTAGCTTTAGAAAGTATATTTATGGATAAAGTAATTTTCGTGCTGGACCATATTCTTAATTTTTCCAACAGGCCTGGATAATAGCCATTTTCTGAGTATCTGAATATATTAATAAATGCTAAAAGGAGAATAAAATCTTTTAAATTTTTTCTTAAGCTGCTATTTTGAATGTGAAAATTGTAGTATAATTATGATAACCACAACATAATTATGAGACCGAGAGAAAAATAAATTCATAGTACAATAGAATTGATTGGTCTGAACTTCAGGCAATTAACATCATGTGATTAATGACTTCCTCATTCAATTATTTCAGCTTTTAGCTGGCTGTATGAGAGCCTGATAGTGTATAAAATGAGTTAACTGAAGAAGGAATTCTTACTGCTTTTTGATCCTCAAGTGAAATGTTTTATGGTAGATGGACAGTAAGCTGAAATATGAGTAGATTATAAGATGTTTCAGGGGTGGGGAAGAGTAAAGAAGTTCAGGAATGTGAGGATCTGTTGTTCTGCTCATTAAACAGGCTACCTGGCAGCTCGTCTAGACCTAACACTACCACTGCAGCTTCTACCTCTGTTACAACCCCTGTGAAGAAAAAGAGGTAAGCCTGCCTCTGCTGACACCCTGCAAAGAACAGTTCTGTATGATTGTCGGTCATGCTTAGTGCTCTCATGGTGTGCACAGGACTCCTTTTCCCCAAACTCCCTTTCAAATGCTACAGGTTCCTTATGGTCTTGCATTTCTAGGAAACATTTCATTGCTGCTGCTGCTTCTGGTTCTGTAGTACTGGGTGCTGAAGTCAGGGCCTTGTGCATTCCAGGCAAGCACTGTATCACTGAGCTATACTCCCAACTCCTGTAGATATTGTTGGTGGTTAGCTGGGATATTAAGGTTAAGCTATTTCAAGCAACCTATTTTATAGAGTCATGTTATAGGGAATGGCTTAACTTGAAATCATGCTTGATGGATAGCCACATATTACCATGCACCAATAGCTTCCTCCTCTCCTCTATAGAGTAGGATAATTCTACTTTTAAGTGGAGTCAAAGGTCCTCTCTGTGGGCATTTGTCTGTTTATTGCCTTGTCCTCTTCTAACGTACCCTGCGTGGCTTCCCACTCTCTGTGTTGAGTTCCTTGTATCCACTATATTTGGAAGAGAATAAACCTGTGGTGATGGAATAATCATCATGAGACACAGTATGATGGGAAAAGAGACATTTGCATGTTGAAGGAACCCAGTGCAAGGAAATCATGATGCAGAGGGAAAGCAAGCACCGTCAGTGCTTTAGTGTTTTCGTGTTTACCTGTGCTGCGAACTATATCTGGTGTAGGGTAGGCACTTGGTGTCTATTGATGGACTGACCTTGTCATGGTGCCATTATGGTCCTCCCAGGGAGAGTTGAGTGATGGATTTGTTTTCTCTGTAATCAGAGAAAACAGAAATTATGATTCATCTTTTTCTTGAACCCAAATTTCATGTTCTCTTATTCTTTGGTTTTTAAACACAGGTTCCTAAGACTGTAAGAGAAACTTAAAGTCAGTTGGTTCAATGTCCTATTCAGTGCAAGAACCATTCCTCTGACATATTAGAAGCAATTCAGGACCACTGAAACCAGAAATAAGATTGTTATTATTTTGAGTTACACCTTTTACTGGCTCTTAAGGGGAACATCCGCCCTTTGCACTGAGAACTCTGATTTGGTTGATTCCTGCCTGGTGTTAGGATAGTCCTGTGGTGCCTCAGGAAATAAGAGATATATCAGGAATTTTTTAAAGTATGTTTGATTATGTTTATTTTAGTATTTTGTTTATTTACCCTTTCTGGTCCCATTTGTTTCCTTCATTCCTTTAGACAAATTTTCTTCTGTTTTCATTTATAAATACACACATGATTTTAGGCCATTCATAAAACTAAAAATAAATCTACCATAGGATTCAGTATATACTCTTTGGGATATTTATCCAAAGGACTACAAGTCAATGTATCACAGACAAATGGGAGGGAAAGGGGTTAATAAAGGGAGGGCATGGAGTTATGGGGGGATATATGCTCAATATACAGTATATTCCTGTTTGAAAATATTTAGACATTCATTTAAAAAAACCAAAAATAAGCATAATCA